CTCTCAAACTATCTGCTGAAGAAAGAACTCGGCACAAGGAATGTCTGAGATTCCTGTGTGGTTTTACCTAGAATTGCAGTCACCAAGTTCCAGCCGGTGCATTACCAAGGCTGCTCATGTACTTACCACTTCTACCCTGGCCACCCTAAGTTCCACTCCTAACCTAATAGCCATGGTGGGCCTTTGGCGAAAACCACGGTTCTCCCCATCTTATTCAGAGAAAAAGAAGCCACAGACCTTAGAATGGCCTACGAGGTCCCACATGAATTGTCACTCAAGATCTTTCTAATCTCATCTTTGAGGACACTTCTGATAATCCTAGAACAGGCCAGAAATAGCCTAGCAGTTCCCTCTGCCAAAAACGCTCTTCCCCACATAACTTTCTGATCTCCTTCAAGTCTGTTTAAATGCTGCCTTAACTCTTCTACAGCCTGCTTATTTAAAATCGTAATTCACTTCTCTATCCTAAACTTGTTCTACTCGTTCCCCCATAACATTCATCAAATGCTATCATTCTTATTTAACCTCTATTATTAATTTTCTTCCTTCTTCTATAGAACGTAAGCTCAACAGAGGCAAGGATTTTTACTGTTTTACTCACTGGTGGTATCATCCATGCCTATCAGCCATGGGTGCCTGATACAAGTAGACACACAATAAATATCACTGAATAAATTAGTATATCATAAGGATGTCCTCTTTTACCTGCCAAAGATCTCTGCATGCACTGGACATTTATTTTAGAACCCTATCTATATTTGTAAATAATGTAGAGAGATCTTTTGGTTGAAGATGTGTTGGAAAGTTATTTTTTCTCATATTTTAATAGCCACATAGGCTTTAAATGATGCAGACCACCTAGGAGAACTAGATATTTCATTAAATGGTAGGATGACAAAACACACACACACACACACACACACACACACTACCAAAATCATAAAATATTCATACTGCATGGTTGGATTCAAAATACTGGGTGGTTTAAAAATCACACCAGAATACCAGGAGGCCCAGGGTTGCACAAATCAAATACCAAGTCATTTATCATTAACTTTACTTATTAATAGCTTGGTCAGATTCCCACCTGCTCTAATACTTCTGCTTGAAGAAAACACCATTTGGAATGAGAAAACTGTAGTTCACTGAAACTGAGTTTGGCTGAGATAACAGAGTTTACATTCCATTGTTGGCTAGATCCTAACCCCATGGAATGTGTCAGAACGGGATTCTGGCGGTAAAGAGGATGGCAGTGCTTTGACCAGGGAATTATACATTAACTTATACATTATAGAGTATGTGTCACATATGCATTAAATATTCACTTCAAAAATCCCCTTGCCACTCCATGATTGCCTGGAGTTAAAGGCACTTGGGTGAAAGAATTCACTCCCATGCATAATCTCCAAACTGAGCATCTGCCACCATCTCTCTCTACATGACCCTTTTTACTTCCTTGCATAGTCAGTGCCCTGCCCCCTCTGGGATGAACAGTGAGCAAGGGATCTGTGTGATACTATTAGCAACAGGACTACCTCAGTGCTTGGATGAACTTAGGAAAATGAAAAGCACCTAGCAAAAACTCCACTAGGGCTATAGATTCAGGGTCCCTTGCTTGCAGGGCCAGCTGATCAAACAGAGGCCTCACTGATCTGCATCCTCCCAGCAGGATGTCTACAAGTAAACAGGCCTGCATCTGCTGCCTCATACAGCTGCAAATATCCGCAAGGCCAGAAGCACCTGCACTGCCTGTTTGGACTATGCAAAGTCCCCAGCTCCGCCCACCCAGCTGTTCTCAGACTCTATGAGTCTGAGACAGGGCCAGGGAATCTGCTTTTAAGATGCCTCAGGAGATACAAATACAAGCCATGCTTTTAACAACAACATCTTTATATCTTAACTGAGTTACTTAAAAGCCTCTTATTCAGTAAGTACTTAAAAAGTGGAATTCACCTTCATGATTGTACATCCATTCATTCATGTAGAGACACTGTCTCTATTGCCTGTCCTCTGGATTCTTCTATCTTTTTTAAAAAAATATTTATTTATTTATTATTAGTTGCAGTTGAGCACAATATCTTTTTTATTTTATTTGCTTTTTATGTTTAGGTGGTGCTGAGGATTGAACCCAGGGCATTGTACATGTGAGGCGAGCACTCTATGGCAGTGCCACAAACCCAGCCCTGGATTCCTCTATCTTATTAGGAAACTTTAGGCAGGTCATCCTAACCTCCACCAATATTATTGGGGGTAATGAATTTAGAAAGAGAAAAGAGATTATGCAACCACATGGTCTGTGAGGACGTGGACCATTTCATCTTCCCTATTGTTCTTATTTCAAGGCAATGGAGCCCCAGAGCCACCATCAGCATCAGTGTCTGACATGCAGTTATCAACCACACTTAGGTTACAGAGAGAGGAAAGAAAGAGGCGCCACAGGCTCCACAATGCCTCCAGCCACGCCCAGCATCTCCTTGGAACGGAGAGGTGGTCACACAAGGTGACAGGGATGGCCCTTGAGCTGCTTGGCATGGGCCCACTCCACTTAACGAGTGTTCAAAATCACACTCAGCATGGAGAAATTCACCCTGACCCTGGATGCTTGCCCCCTGGCATACGCTCACTTACATTTTTACTCAATTACTATTTCTAAGAACAGAAAAAAAAAAAAAAAAAAAAAAAGAAGAAAAGAAAAGAAAAAGAAAGAAAGGAAAAAAGAAAGACAAGACAAGAATGCAGAGCCCCACTGTCTTGCATGGAAGGTCTGAGAAGGGTCAGCTGGGGGCTGGGAAAGTAGAAGAGCCTCCCACTTGTGGGAATCCACGTGGAGCTGAGCCCCATCTACCTGGCCACCCCCTTGGAGAAACGATTGGTCTTTTCAGAGCAGGTGGGCTTCCCCGTGTTTTTCCCCAAAGGAAAAGGGAAGTTTGAAACAAACAGGTGATAAAAAAAAAATAACCCCAATGGCTGGGGTTGTGGCTCAGCGGTAGAGCGCTCCCCTGGGTTCGATCCTCAGCACCACATACAAAAATAAACAAGTAAATAAAGGTGTTAAAAAAAAAAATAACCCCAAGTAAGAAGGAGACTCTAAGAAGAAAAACCAACTGAAGAACCAAGGAAGACCTCTTTACTACCAGAGGGAGGGATGAAAAGGATATCAGTCCAAAGCAGGAGGGAAGAAAGGGACCTACTGAATGGGTGACAGCATCTAGATCTGTGACCAAGGACGACGCATTTAGCTCTCCAAACCCCAACTTCCTGAAGATTGGGGATTGCCCTCCTGGCCTTCCCTGTCCAACCAACATGCGGAGAATCAGGATGAGGATTAGCAACATGGGGTGTCTCCAACCAATTTTTCCTAACTTCTTTCCCTTTCTCTTCCTTTCAACAAGCCAGTCAGTGGGTAGGGAAAAACTGGACATTCCACTTTTGGGTTTAAGGAGTGAAATAAAGTTCAAATTCAAATATAGTTTGTCTCACAAAAGGGAGTGTTAATTGCCTTTCTGTCTTGAGTTTGAATTTTCTTTCTTTCAAATTTTCTCTCTCCCTCCCTCCTTCCTTTTATATTCCCAGCCTTTTTAAACTTTTTATTTTTATTTTTTTAATTTGAGGCAAGTTCTCAATAGGTTGCTTGGGGCCTCTTTAAATTACTGGGGCTTCTAACTTCAATCCTCCTGCCTCAGCCTCCCTACCTCTTCCCAACCCATCGTAGGGACTAAAAACATGAACCACCCAACTGGTAAAAGGGGGCTTTAAAAGCATGCATTAAATCTTTCACTCTTCATTCATATAGCAGCCTCTAGCCACTCTGAGGCTTTCTGTAGTAAAATAAACATGTACTCTCAACAGAATCAGGGTGTTTTTGTTTTTGTTTTTTCTTTAATTTTTCCCCCTTTGAGGAAATCCCAGCATAGGCCACTGTAGATAAACTATATTGATTTCCAAGAAGCAAGATTAAGCACGGTAAATTACAGAATAGGATATCCAGGGAACCAGGCTTCTACCAGAAAAATAGAAACATTTCCTTTGTCTCTATCCAGGTCACCACCCTCCCACATTTACAATCAACATAATCAAAACCTTCTCAGGGCCTCAAATACAGGTGGTTAACTAATGCCAGGATTGTGAGTCTGTTTCTTGTTTTCCTAAGCAGGATTTGGGGACAACTCAGCCACTGAATTTATTGAATGCTAGGATCACTCAAGCTCTATTCTTAGGTCCAGACTCATTGCCCAGCATACAGAAGGCATTCAATAAATGCTGGTGGCAATACAATAGTGTCCCAAATCAGAAAGAGGTAGAGACCTCTGGCTTTGGTGCTCCTTTTCCTAACCCATTGCACTGGCTCTAAGAAGCCTGCACTTTGTGTGAGGGTCAGGGATAAATAGTTCAAGCACGCAGCAAGCTCAAGTCCAATTAGCTGAGGGTTGACCCCTGTCAGTCCATTTTCTCATGCAACTCAGACATGTCAATATGAAAGTCACAAATAATGGCATCAGCATAACTCTCCCTTAGGCCTCCTGCAAAAACCTCAAACGAGAGAAAAATCTCCTTTTTCCCCTTTAGTTCAGAACAAAAACATTAATTAAGCAACTACTATGTGTCGGGAATAACAACACACACATAAACAAGATATGAAAAAACAACCTTCCTTTGACATTCAGGCTATACTGTTCAACTCTCCAGAGAAGCCTCCCTGGGGATCAGGAGATCAATATTTCCAATCCCTCTGTGTCCCTTGGAACACATATTTCATTACCCCCAAGTAATACTTTCACAAGCTACAGTCAAGTCATGGCACATCTTCCAAGCTGTTCATCAGCTCTTCTCATGTAAACTCTGACTAGGAAATGTCAGGCACCTTTGTGATAAACTCAGCTACAAGGCTGCATTTCAGAATCCTATTTAGCCTCTAATGTGCACCCCACAGGAGACAGAAACTAAAGACGGACTTGATATCACCACGTCAAACGAGGAATAAAGCAGACGAGTGTACTCACCAAGGTACCCACAGAGCACCTGGGACTGTCTGGCGCACAAGCTGCCCACTGAGCCAGAGGGTGTTGTAACAACTGGGCAGACAGCTAGGAGTTTTAAAAAGCACAGTCATTAGCTATTTTACTGAAGAGAGGCCCGACACAGAACTATACAAAGACTCAAAGTAGAAGAGGGACTCACTGAATGTTCTTATTGCCCCCACCCAGATATACAAGGTCCCTGCAACCCAGGGTCAGGAGGTCACACACAAAGATCTATAGAGGATTCTGGATTCTGGTCTCCCAGATCTCCTGGCCTCCCTTAACCAGCTATCAGACTCCTGGATTCTGTTTTCCCTTTAACACACTCTAACATTGAAATAACAATATACAATTTATAAACTAAAATAGTAAAATAAATACCTTGAGTTATACTAAAGATGAATAAGAGAGATCTTGACCCTCTTTGACAAAAGACAGCCTACCCATTAAGAATAATACCTGGTGTTTCTTTGGCTGGCCTAGATTTTTAGAGTTCTTAAAACCACCTGTCATTATTTTTAACTGGCATATGAAAACTCTGACTTGAAATGAGTCAAAAGTACAAGGGCATATTGGTTGTAGCTGCTTAGCTACAGTTTCAAAAGCTGGAGCTCTTTGAAATGGATTAAACATTTCTCCCCTCAGAGTATGACATCCAGAAATTTTAAACTTCACTTTCTTTAAAGTAAAAGCAATTGGATATTTCCCACCTTATTCTTAGAGACAAAACTACACCAAAAAAAAAAAAAAAAAAAAAGTCTCAAATTGAAGAAAAGAAAAAAAAAATTCTTGAGTGTTCAAAGGCTTTCCTGCCTATAGTAGGAGCTTTGGATGAGAAGATATGGGCTAAAATCCCCATTCTATCATTGATTTCCCATGAATCTTTGGACAAGCCCTGGAGTTTACCTCAACTTCAGTGCCTACAAGTTGAGGCAGACATAATGCTATCTCTGAGAGTTTTTATAAGATGGGAATGAGATGTTATATTTAAAAAAAGACTGGCAAATAAAAATGATTAAGGAATGCAATCATATTAGCTATGTAACTGAGCCCTCCTAGGCCTGGCATGATATAATTCTGTCCTGGCTCCTTGCATAGACAGAAACTATGCATCTTTTATATATGCAGGGCATATCTTCTGCAAGTAACACTGTCAATATTCAGACCTGAATTGAACCCTTCCCTGTATTGAACCCTTCTTTGGATAAAAAACAAAGGCTTCATTGAATCCTTTTTTTTCCCCCAGATCTGTGCCTTTTATCACTCAATTTTAACATGGATAGTGTCAGCCTTTCCCATACTCTGCAACTTACCATCTCCAACATTCAGCCTCCTACAAAGACCCCAGTGACACTTTTTCACACATACATGGATTATGCGGTCCAGCCAACACACTCTTTCATTGAGATGGGGGTTTTCTGTGGCCAGTGTGGCATGGAAATGAAGGCCTAGCATCTGGGCTGCTAGAAACACATTCTCCTACCCTGATGCCACCATATGCTGCTTCCAGCTGACATCTGTTCCCATATGTTCCTACCAAGAAGCAACCATGCTGTTTATTTTTAGTGCTTTCTCCACAGCCTGATAGGGAGAATATTCCCTCAAATAACCAGTCAGCAAAGACAGGAAGCTACACTGGGTATAAACTGTTTGTCACAAGATTACCAATCAAAGATTTCTCATTCAAAGTTGGTCTTTAAAAAGAGATGCTGAAAATTATCCTAAATAAAAATCCAAAAGAAAATAACCAAAGGAAGGTAGAAGATGCAAAGTGAGTCGCTTGGTTAGTAATACTTTTTCTCCAAACTATGGCCCTATGCATTTCTTGGGGGGATTTCAATCCTTTTCCTGGGAAACAGCACCTTCTTCAGGCCACTGGATGTCGTGGTACAGAAGAGGGACAGTTCTATCCATGGGATTCAGATCCCTGACACTGCCCTGGGTCACCCAGGTCACAGGTAGGAACAAGGTGACGTGACTATTGTCATTTACAATTTCCAGCATGCCCGACTTAAATATGCACCTTTGGTTTACTTTCATTCTGCTATGAAGTTGCAGTCTTAAAATTATTTCTTTCCTTTCTTTTTTTCTGTTTTATTTTCAAGCAGAGCCTTAGCAATTAAGATCATGAATTGGAGCTGGGTTGTAGCTCAGTGGTAGAGTGCTTGCCTTGCATGTGAGGCACTGGGTTCAAGCCTCAGCATTGCATAAAAATAAATAAATAAAATAAAGATACTATGTCCATCCACAACTAAAAAAATATTTTTAAAAAAGATCATGAATTGGATGAAGACATAAAAATGCAAATAGTGACTACTCAGGCCTCAGAAAGCAGTCCTTAGTTTTTAAGTTATGAATTTTCAGTCATCTACATGACTGAAGCAGTACTGGGATATGGATTTTTTTTTTAAGATCAGTGAAGCTCTAGATATATGCGAAATGGTTTGTAAAACGTGAAACACTATAAACATCTGAGACATTTATAGTCTTAGAGACAGTGCTTTTTAGAAGACTCTGGGCACTCATAATTAATAAATGGGCAACTATGGGTTATACAAGTTATAAAATAGAAGAAGTCCCAGAATTAAAATTTGGTATAGGTGATTTAGAAATAACTAAATGATTCTGATATGAACTATAAGTGTTGGCGTTCAGTTTTGCCTGTGACAACACAGCTCAGAAATAAAACAACAAAACAACAATGTTTCTAGAGTGTGTTTCGAATCATTTGAGAGAGAATCACCTGGCCTGCTTGTCAAGATGCAGGTTGTTGGAGCTTAACTTCAAACTATTGAATAATAATTTGGAAATGGAGTGGGAGACAAAGGCTTAGGAGTTTACATTTATAATAAGCACCATGCTTGATTTTTTTGCATGGTAAATTTGAGAACCACTCGTCCAGGTCTTTGTGACTTATAGGTTAGAAAGGCCATTTACAAAACATCATTTGATCTCAAAGCAATCCATCTAGGTGGGTCAAGGAAAAAGTGTCTCCTCATAAGGTTTATATATGTTCTGAGTAAAAATCAGTTTTATATAATGTGAAAATGTCTATAAGCTAGAAATAAAGCCATTCTTGCTGTAATATCTTAAGCGGAATTAAAAATGCTTCAATGCAGTCAGTGGAAGTGGTGCATTCCTGTAATCCCAGCTACTCAAGAGACTGAGGCAGGACTATCACAAGTTCAAGGCCAGCCTCAGCAATTTAGTGAGATCCTGTCTCAGAATTAAAAATTTCCTTAAAATGCTTCAATCCCATTAAAAGTGCTTCAATAAACTTTATGTCAAATTAGCTCCTGCTCCAGTTCTCCCAACCCCTCCAACAACAGAATGCATCTCTTGTAATTTTAACAATTCTAAACATGGATGCTATCTTTCCTCCTGACACTAAACTCTTTTTAGAGAATTTCCAGCAAGTATTACTGAGAAAGGGAAAAATGTTCCAAATATACAATGATTTGAGGTCAGCTTGGTTTGAGACCCTATTTTAGAATAAGAATTAATGACATTTGACATGACTCTACGTGCATAGTTTCATTATTGATAGTGATATTTTCTGACAGTGGAATTCTGAAATGTACCTCTCTCCAAGACAAATGAGCACCAGTCACCTCATTCCATGCAGAAAGAAACTCAAGTCTAGTCGGTAAAATAGTGGTAAGTCAGACCTTAGTTCATGGCTATGGCCCACACATTTAACAACTGAAGGTTTAATACTAAAGAGGACCAAATGAGTGACAAAATTACTTTTCAAATAGGTAAGATTTAAAAAAAAATGCCTCAAGGTGTCTCAGATCTAAAACAGGGTGTAGACAGTGCCAGCAACCTATGGTGATGGAGTTTGATGGACAGGCATAAAGGGGTGAGGGACTGCTGCTTCAGCACCTTAAAGGATGGCTATAATTCAGCTCTGGTTCTGCCCTCCCTGCCACTCGCAGGTAAAAGTTGGGAGCTCAGAAGCACTCCTTTCTTCATCCTTCCCAAATTTCAGAGCCAAAAGTACCAAGGGATGATTCACCTGGATGTGGAAAGATTTGCCCAAAAAGTCCTGAAAGAGAGACATCCAAGGGGACAATTCCTTCACTAAATCATCCATCCTCTGCAAAGAAATGAAATGTCCTCTGTCTATGATTGTTTTTTCCTCCTTCTAAAGTAGAATCAAGCTGGATGCAGTGGTGCATGCCTGTAATCCCATTGGCTCAGGAGGCTGCTGCAGGAGGATCACAAGTTTAATGCTAGCCTTTGCAACTTAGCTAGGTCCTAAGCAACTTAGCAAGACCATGTCTCAAAATAAAAAGTAAAAGAAAGGGATGGGATGTTGCTCAGTGGTTAAATGCTTTTGGTATAAAAATAATATTAATAATAATAATAATAATAAAGTAAAATCAGAATAAGCCATTGACCTTTCTTTCTTTTGGGCTTTATGAGCCGGCAGCTTAATTATAAGAGTTCATTATAAAACAAGTAAAAATGACTCCAGTGAGATTGCCATGAAGATGTCAAAGCAGAAGTGAAAATGTGATTAAGTCAACAGAAAGAAACAAATGACCATATGAGAAAGAATCCCCCCAATGGAAGGAATGACAAAGTTACAGCTACAAAGGTGTAGACAGAATCATCTCTGATAAACTTGTTCTAAGAAGGATTGAAATAACCAATACTGAAACGAATCCAAAATTTAAAAATTAAATTATACTTTCCAGAATATTCCCATTTATATTCTGGCAACCGGAAATATTTCAGTACTCATAAAATACACTACAAAATTACAATGATCTTTTTTTCAGATAAATTTTTGCAAAGGTCAGTGGACCCTGTGGTCATTTCAGTGTCCTTCTTACAACCAAACTCTGCATTCTTGTTCACAAGATGAGGTAACAAAGATGGCTAGAATAGCCTAAAGTCAGGAATGAGTGATTATCTGTGAACTAATTTGCCAAGACAGATGTGGTATTCGTCAGGGTGGTAACAGGGAAAGCCAGATGGCCAAAGCCAAGGTTGAAGTCCCAGCATCTTTCATTTGCTTTCATGAAACCAGAAAGATGCTGTAGTATTTCCTGAAACAA